CGCGCTCAGCCCACTGAGCTCTCTCCGGCTCCTACGTGCTGCATTGAAAAGGCTGCTGGCTCTTCCCTACTCACACTCCTTCTGCCAATAATTAAAAGCCAAAGCAACGGGCCAGAGTGATAGTACAGCAGGTAGGGCGTTTGCCTTGAATGCGGCCAACTCGGGTTCAATCCCTGCCTGGTGTCCCATGTGGTCCCCCGAGCACCACCAGGTGTGATTCCTAAGTGCAGAGCCAGGAGAAACCCCTGAACATCACTGGGTGTGATGCAAAAAGCCAAAAAAAAAAAAAAAGCAAAGCAAGTGTTCCTAGCCAGTGGCAGGGGCTGCCCTGTCCCCAGTTCCTCTGCTCCTTCCTCCGTATCCCATCCTGCCTCTCCACCGTGACTTGACCCACACGCAGCACCTTGTCACCCACTCTCTCTCAGCTACTGCCCTATAGTCTCCAGGCACCCCTGGGCACCCCCTGCCTGTAACTGGTGTTTATCTCAACCCTGAGGGGTGTGCTGGGTGTCAGCTGGGAAGGCACCCCCGCCCTTTGCTCTGGGGGCCTCCACCTCCATGGGACACCAAGGTGTGGGAGATACAAGGCCTGTGTCCCATTTCCCCTGGCTCCAGGTAGAGGTTCTCAGTGCCCCCAGGTTTCCTATTCGGTCCTCTCAAGTGCCCTTTTTCTTTCTTTCTTTCTTTCTTTCTTTCTTTCTTTCTTTCTTTCTTTCTTTCCTTCTTTTGCTTTTTGGGTCACACCCAGCAATGCACAGGGGTTACACCTGGCTCTACACTCAGGAATTACTCCTGGCGGTGTTCAGGGAACCCTATGGGATGCTGGGAATCAAACCCGGGTCGGCCGCGTGCAAGGCGAACGCCCTACCCGCTGTGCTATCGCTCCAGCCCCTCAAGTGCCCTTTTTAAAAATTTTTTTTAATTGTGTTATTGTAATTTATAAAGTTATTCATAGCATCCAACTTTACAATCAGCCATGATCAAATTCCTTGTGTATGGGTTTCCCGACCTCAACTCCATCACGCCAGTATCAGAGATCACTCCCACCTGGGCTCTGAGGCTGTGGGGGGTGTCAGGGACCAAACCCAGAGCAGCCACATTCCCAAGCAAAGGCCATAACCGCTGTCCTATCATCCTGGCCCCTCAAGTGCCCTTTCTTGGCATCTTTCAAGGCTGCCCCTGGCCAAGGCCTATCCCGCCAGGGGGCTCCTGTCAGGACAAGTTGCCAATTGCTTGGATTGAGGGTGGATTCCCCCCAATTCTTTCTCTCCCTTGGACACCTTTTTCTCTATTCCTTATTCCTCTTGGCTCTTGCCTTTCCCTGCTCACTGGACTATTTCCAGTCCTCGTCTGTCCATCACTTCCTTTTTTTTTGAAGTAAATAGATTTTATTTGGGGGTTTTGGAGAGGAAGAGAATGAGAGAGTAATGTACTAAGAGAGAACACGGGCTTCTCCAAGGGAGGAGAGAGCCCCTACACACATCCTGGCATTAGACACGAAAGCATGAAAGTACACATCTCAAGAGGAGAGATGCGGGCGACACATGTGCTCAGCCCACATGTGCTCGGCCACGTGGGCGCAAGCAGCACAAGGGCTCAGGCTGCAAATGCGCCTCCATCACTTCCTTTAATACGAGGTTGGTCTTGAGGTGATTTTCTGGACTCAGAATTCTGATCCTGGTGGTCAGTGAGCTGAGTCACGTAACAAGGAAGGGGGTCCTCTTCTCTGCCTGCTCTCACAATCCCCCCGAGTCTGTCGCAAATTCCTTCTCTGCCAGTGATGTGTCCTAGCACTTTAACATGCTCTGCTTTTAGCATATTTATTTTCACAACATTGTCCCTCTTTCAGGCAACTAATACAGAGTCTATTTGTGCTTTTCTATTTGCTGGGGTTTCGCACGTCTCCATACACCCTCGCCGTGTTCTATAGATGGAACTGTTGTATACATAATTACGTAAGCAGCACCCTTTTCTCTTCAGTGTCCATAGCTGGCTTCTCTCTTCCGACCATACTCCCTTTTCCCACCCACATTCCTCAATACCAAGACCAGTGACATAATTCACAAAGCCCCTAGCAGAGCCAACGTGCCAGGCCTTGGCTCAAAAATCATTAAGAATTTCCGAGAGGGGACTGGAGCTATTAATAGCACAGCATGTAGAGCGTTTGTCTTGCATGCAGCCGACCCAGGTTCAATTCCCAGCATCCCATATAGTCCCCTGAGTACTTCTAGGAGTAATTATTGAGTGCAGAGCCAGGAGTAAGCCCTGTGCATTTCCAGGTGTGACCCCCCCCCCCACAAAAAAAAATTAAAGAGGACAGCAGAGCTTCAAATCCAGGACAGGGCCTGTGGGAGATGAAGGCCCTGAGACCACCTGGCTACTGGCCCACAAGGGTAGCTCCGCTCTCTGCCTCCCCTGAAGCCCACCCTTAACCAATCAAGTGAGACCCTTCCAATCTCCCCCTTTACACAATCACACCAGTCCAGAGGTGGGACTTCCGGTTACTGTCATCTGAAAGTCACCTCATAGACCTCATAGTTGACTTCCATCTCTGCCTCTTGCTTCCTTACTCAAGACAGCGCCAACCTGTGTCCAGCCACTGGCACGAGTCCACCTCATGCTCTGTCAAGGCTCCCCGGCCACGTCCCCGAGACCTGAGTCACTCATTCAGGAGCTCCAGGGGACAGGAAGTCACTCCTTTGCCACTTTCTTGCTGCTCCAAATAAAACATCATGACTATGTTAAGATGTAGGTCTTTGCATCTTCATGCTGCCAGGCAAATTAATGGTCAAATTCCCAGGTCAAGCGAAGGACAGTGTGACAAAGGGGTTCAAGCAAAGGCAACAACCAGCAAACATCAACAGTGCTGGTGTGTGTGTGTGGTTGTGGGGGGTGGCGGAGTGTATAGCTCCTTGGCCAGCCCTCACAGGAGTCTAAGACCTGGGTGGAACGCAGGGAGGGAAATTCTGGTGCAGGAACCAGAAAGCACAAAAGTCAGGAACCCGTCTTGGGTTTGGGTAGGGAAAATTCGGCTGGTGGCCCAGAAAGCGGGCCTTGGGGAGTTCCAGATACCAGCAAGCTGCCTTCACAGTTGAGTTGGCACTGGCAGGCCTAGTGGCATGGGCAACAGGACCCACACAGCCTGGCCCATTCCCCTCAGAAATACTGTGCATTCTTATGCATGAGAAACTGGGGGCCCATCCCAGGCAGAGATGATACACAAGTGCTTTAGAGCCCTGTACACACACACACACACACACACACACACATACACACACAGACATAGTGCAGCGAGCATCTCAGTCTCCCCCATCCCTACTCATGTAGAAACATTGACCCCACCAGAGGGGAGTCTTGGGCTTGTTGCTGTGGGAATGCGGTTTGTAAAATCCTACCTGTGGGCTGCTCAGTCTTGCCCTGAATCTCACATGAGCCAGTGAGTGTGTGCTCTGAATTCTGAGTCATTCCCCTGCACAGCTCAGGTGGGGCGTCTGGTCAGGGATCAGGGAGGATGGACAGTGAAAGGCCTGATGGCTTTCTGAGCCATGGAGCACCCGAGAACTCAGTCTGTAGGTAGGTGTGTGTGTGTGTGTGTGTGTATGTGTGTGGAGGGGGGTTGTGTGTTTATGTATGAGTGTTTGTGTGAGTGTGTGCATGAGTCTGTGAGTGTGTGGGTTAGTGTATGAGTGTTTTCATGTGCATGTGTGTGTTTCTGCATGAGTGCGTGCATGAGTGTGTGCGGTATGTGTGAATGTGAGTGTGCGTGTGCTTGAATGTGTGTTTGTCTGAGTATTCATGTACGTGTGTATCTGTGTTTCTGTGTATATGCATGAGTGTGTGTGTATGTGCGCATGTGTGTGAATATGTGTGTGAGAATGTGTGTGCATGTGTGTGTTTGTGGGTGTGAAGATGTGTGTGAGAATGTGTGTGCATGTGTGTGTAAGAGTGTTTGTGTGTGAATATGTGTGTGTTTGTTGTGACTGTGCATGTGTGTGAATGTATATATGTGAATATGTGTGTGAAAGTGTGTGTGTGTGTGTGTGTGTGTGTGTGTGAGATATCAGGTGAGGCTTCAAACCAGTGTCATTCAAGCTAGGCCAGGCCAGGCTGTGGCTACATTTGTCCCCAAATCACTTTTAGTCACTCAGTACAGTTGGGTGACGCCCGCACCCCCCCACCCCAAACCACCACCACTTGGCAGTGGCACCTTGAGCTCAGGGGCTCTAATATGGCTGGTACAGGCCAGAAAAAGCTGCCATTGCCCAGAAGTGGGCACCTGTCTTCTGCTGGGGCTTCAGGTTCTAGCCTGATCTCTTGGAGTAACCAGAAAGACCCCAAACCTAAGCGCAATAGAGACTGGGAAGTGTTGGGAGACCTCTTCGGTCTCCCCTGGGGCTCCTACAAGACGGCACCCCGGGAGTCAGTTTCCCGAAGCCCTGAATTGATCAGGGCCTGGGGAGACCAATTCAGGGTCTTGGGCCAAGTGGACACTCCCTAGTCCCAGAGTGTTACTCTGTACTTGCGACTTCTGTACTTGCTGTGTGCTTCCCAGGTAACTGCTAATACCTTTCTCTCTCCGTCATCAAGGGTGAAGGGGGTATCAGAGGCCTAGCCGGACCCTCCGTAAATGATTCTTAGGGTCCCTGAATCACCGGATATCTCAAAGTCCTGACTGAATTTCCCAAACAAATTTCCCCCAACCAACTTGCTTTTTCCTTTCTCTCTAATACTCGCTCCCATCTTGGAGTTTCCTCTGGATGTCGAGAATTCTCCAGAGAGCTGGTGGAGAGTGGCCGGCTCTCACCATCACTCACCCAGAAAGCCCACTGTTCCCTCCCGCCTCTACTGTCCCCCTGCGCTGAGATTCTGCCCTGAGGACCCCACACCGAGGAAGCTGCTTCTCCGGATGCAACCGAGTCCCCAGCCAAGCCTCCCCACGGCCCCCCACAGATCCCTTGTGCCTTTGAGGCTCCCAACTCTCTCCCTAAATGTCCTTCCAGGCCCCCTCACGCCAGCCCAGCCTAGCAACTCTAACAGCAGCTTCACTCTGGGTCAGCCGAAGGATGAAGGTGACAGAACCCCAGCGAGCTCTCTGACACCAGGTGGGTGGTGGCTGGGGTGATGGGAAAGGGACCTTCACGGGAGAGGAGGCGCCTAGTTGAGAGGGTAACACTTCTAGCTGAGCCCATGGATGAACATTTCGAAACCACAGAACAGCTTTGTCTAAAGACCCCTGGGGAGCTTTTAAGGGCTCCTGGAAGGGTTGAGGGCATAGGAAAAGGGCGTTTGTTCCAACAAAGGGGCTGGGGCATGTGAGGCGGGGTCCTTGACATTAGCAGCAGTTGTTGGTAAGGACCTGTGTGAGGCAGAGCTGTGTGCTAGTCTTTGGAGGTGCAACCTTGAGAGACAGTACAGCTCTCAGGGTGCTGGCCTTGCACCCAGCCAACCTGGGTTCTATCCCCAGCACCACGTATGGGCTCCCGATCACTCTCAGGACTGATCCCCCAGTACAGAGCCAGGAGTAAGCCCTGAGCACAGCCAAGTGCTCCCCCCCACCCCACAGCATGGTCTCTGAGGAAAAGAACCCTCCCCCAATCTATAGCCCCCACCCCCATCTATAGTTTCAGCTCGGAGCCCAGATTTTAGAGGTGGCAGTTACTCAGAGACCCTCAGAATAGCTGGAGGTCATGACCCCTACTGTAGCAAGGGAGGACTCAAACCCCCCCCCCTTAGCCTCCCTCAGGCTCTATTCCCGAGATCTGAGAACCTGGGGTTGGCCCGCAGGGGGGTCGGGGTGAGCCAGCTGAGCCTCACTTTGCAGCCTGGAGGGCTGAGACCCCCCAGCCACCTTCCCCTCCCCCTCACGGATGTGCGGCGTCTGTGGGGGGCCTCAACGCGGGTCTGGCTCTTCCAGGACCTTGGTTGGGGGTCCGCCTGGTGAACGGCACTGACCGCTGCAGCGGGACGGTGGAAGTGTGGCGCACGCCATCCTGGACACCGGTGTGCGGGGCGTCCTGGAACCGCAGCGCCGCCGAGGCCGTGTGCCGAGCGCTGGGCTGTGGCGGACCCAAGACCTTCGAGCTGCAGCCGTCGGGGCAGGCCGCGGGCAACGCCAGCGGGGCCCCCAACGCCACGCGCGGCGTCCTGGCGCCCGCCGTCAGGTGCAGCGGCTATGAGTGGCGGCTCTGCGAGGTGGTGGAGCAGCCGTGCGGCGGGGACGGGAGGCCAGCCCAGGTCACCTGCACAGGTACAGGCCCCGCGCCCTGCGCCCCGCTGCATGCACGCCCCAGTCCTCACCCCTGGCGCGCCCAACTCCAATACCCCCACCTGCGTGGTGTAGTGTGAAGACCAGGCATTTCTCAGATTTGGAGATCAGACTGGGCATTGCTCAGATTTGGCGTCCAGACTATTTTTCAGTTTTGTCATTCAGACTGGGTATTTCTCAGATTTGGCGTCCAGACCGGGCACTTCTCAGACCTGGTGTCTGTCCGGACTGGACATTTCTCAGACCTGGCTTCCAGAGCGCTCGCTCCCCTGCTAGCTCTGCAAGTCGCCCACTTGATTCCCCAGTTTGGGTCTCTAGCTCTTACTTCTCGTCCCCTCTTCGACTCTGATCTATGCCCCCTTCTCCTGGCACTTAAATGCACCCAGTTCCCCGAGGTCGGGGGACTCTGCACCCACCCAGGCCCAGACCGGCTCTGCAGGCCCCGCCTCTCACGGCCATCCCAACCAATCAACGGGAGCGCTACTAGCTCCGCCCACCAGCCCTACAGCTGCTCCCATTGGGTAGCTAGCTGATCCCTCATCAGCCCCGCCCCTACCTTCTCACCTGTGTCCAAAAGGGTCCCAGCCCCTCACAGCGTGCATCAGCCCGCTGCAAACTGTTCTGCCCAGTCCTGGGCACCTGCCCGCCCTCTCTCCTCCTCGCCCTCTTTCCTCGCGTCCGCAGCCCCCCTGGGTGCCCCCCCACGCAAACCCCTTGCCCTCCTGCCCGCAGAGACCCGAGCACTGCGCTTGGTGGCAGGCGGAAGCCAGTGCGCGGGCCGCGTGGAGATGCTGGAGCACGGCCAGTGGGGCTCGGTGTGCGACGACACGTGGGACCTGGAGGACGGTCACGTGGTGTGCAGGCAACTGGGCTGCGGCTGGGCGGTTCGGGTCCTGCCGGGCTTGCACTTCCCGCCAGGGCAAGGGCCCATCCACCGCGACCAGGTGAACTGCTCCGGAGCCGAAGCCTTCCTGTGGGACTGCCCCGGCCTGCAAGGACGTGGCTACTGTGGCCACAAGGAGGACGCGGGCGTGATGTGCTCAGGTCAGCGGGCTAGGCTGTGGGCAAAGGCGCGGGCGGGCTCTGAGGCGCGGGGGGGTTGGTGGAGGCAGGGAGGCCCAGGATGAGGCTGGGTCTTGTGCGCACACTCTGCTTTAGGGGTGCTGGCAGGGGGGCGGGGGGTTGGAATTTCTAACAAGGGATCCTGGGCATGCCGGCAGGCTGGTGCTGCAGATTCACAGACCTAACTTTTGAGTAACGGGGATGTCAGGAATTACAGCCGGGTGTTCTGGTATTGATGGGGGCAGGGAGGTGGGGGTGCAGATGAGATGGGGGGGGGGGTGCCCAAGGTCTGCAGAACAGTCGGAGTGGGGGGGTTGCAGTCGGTGGGTCTAAGCTGGACCCAGAGACTGATCCGGCCCCGCCACGCCCCGCCCCGCCCCGCCCCGCCCCTGCAGAGCACCAGTCCTGGCGGCTGACCGGGTCTGCAGACCCCTGCGAGGGCCAGGTGGAGGTGTACTACCAGGGGGTGTGGAACACCGTGTGTGACAGCGTGTGGTACGGACCGGAGGCCACCGTGCTGTGCCGTTCCCTGGGCTGTGGCACCTCAGCGGGCTTGCCCCGGGGCTGGCCGCACTCCCTGCCCGGCCAGATGTACTACTCGTGCGAAGGCAGCGAGGACGCACTCCACCACTGCACCTGGCGCTACAACAACTCCAACCTGTGCAGCCAGTCGCGGGCAGCCAGGGTCATCTGCTCAGGTAGCCCCCCCAACCCTGTTGGCGCCCCACCCTGCCTCTGCCTCAGGGGCCCCCAGGCGAATCCACAGACCGGGAGCCACAGCTGGGAGGGGGACAGGGATCCGGAGCCCTGGCCAAGAGCCCACAGCATGCCCAGGCTGGCATGGTGAACAGAGCAGGGGGTTCTTCCTGACTCAGATACTCCTGAGGGCACCTCTACTGGCCCCCAGGGACTGGAGTTTGCTCCAGGGGGAAACTGATTCACCACCCCAGGAATGATGCTCCCTGCTCCCACACATCCGGGTCACTGGGACCAGCACATCCCATCTCGGTCTGCCAGACCTTGTCGCCCTCTGTATGGAGGCACTCTAAAAGCTGCGTTCTTTACCCTAATCACACCGCTGTTATTCCCTGTCCCAGAAGGATTGAAGGGTCGCAGCTGACGACTGCAGTTGGTAGCACCTCTTGATTTCTGAGGTGTCACCTCTGGAAAGGCGAGGCCCTTGGGAGAGATTCGGGCAGGATTCTAGCACTGGCCTTTGCCAGCTGGGAGGGTCGGGAGCCCCTGCACTCCTCGGGGCATTGAGGGCTTTCCTTTGAGGGGAGGAGGATATGGCCTCAGTCAGGGAGGCTGGGGGGTCAGAGCACCCCACTAGGGTCCTCAGGGATCTTTGTCCCTGTCTCCTGAAGATGCTGTTGGGGTCCTGTTCATCAGGTCAATCCCTCCACTTCTTGAACCCAATGGGAAGGGCAAATCAAGGAAGGGAGGATGGAAGGGAGGGAGAGAGAGAGGGAGGGAGGGAGGGAGAGAAGGAGGGAGGGAGGGAGGGAGGGAGGGAAAGGAGGGAAGGAGAGAAGGAGGGAAGGAGGGAGGAGAAGGCATTTTTACACAGAATGACTGGAACATTCTTTCATAGTTTCTATTCAGCCCTTACAAACCTTCCAGCCTTTAACCCACACACCTGTCGGGGGGAAGGGGGTCCCTAACCATGTCCTCCCTCAGGGACCCCATTCCAGGGCCCCAGGTGTCTCACTCAGTGCCTGGCCCAGCTCTGGCGACAAGAGGAGATGGGTAGAAGGTGCTGACGAATGTCGGTGTGTTCCCCCAGAGTCCCGGAGACTGCTCAATCTGTCCATGTCTGACGGGCTCACCAGTGCTCAGCCAGTCACCAAAGGTAAGTGTCACCGGGCACCGGGGCTGTTAGAGTTTTCTGCTCACGCATGCGTGTGCATATGGGTATGCATGTGAGTGTGCGTGTGTGCATGTGGAGTGTGTCTGTATGTGTGTGTGCATGTGAGTGTGTCTGTATGTGCATGTGTGTACGTGATGGTGTCTGTGTGTGCGTATGTGTGAGTGAGTGCATGTACCCCTGTGTGTACACATGAGCATGCACATATGTGACTGGGCATCATGCGTGTGTGCACGTGTATGTCTGTGTGTGCGTGTATCCGAGTATACGTCTGTATGCATGTTGTGTGCATGAGTGTGAATGTGTGACTGTGTATACATATGATATACATGTGTGCATGTGTGCCCAAGTGTCCCACTGCAGGGTTTGTCCCTCCTCCATCCCCAGATGACCGGCTTGTCTCCCCTCACCCACTTCTGAGAGCTTTGTGCCCTTCGTGCTGTGGCAGCCTCACGCTCTGGGACCCTGGGATCTGGGGGTCCACAGACACTCCCCAGGGCGGAGGACAGAGCTGAGGGCCATGCTGGTCTGATGCCAGCCAAGAGGGAGGGAACGGAGGACACAGCTGTGGTGTTTAAATGACCCAGGATCCATCCCCAGCTCTGCAAGTCCTGCGTTCCAGCTCTCTAGGGGGTCTCAGTGTAACCCATGTACCGAGGGGGAGGTGGCCCCAGCCGTTGTTGGCTGCAGTCTGCCTTCAAGGCTGTGAATCTAGGCTTCGCTCTCTGCGCCCCCAGCTCTGTGAGTTGGGCCGACTCTTCTGTGTTTGTGCACTGGGCAGACGGGGAGCAGATCTCTGGGGGCTCCAAGGCCCAGCCAGAACCCTGGCAAGCTGTGTCATGCCAGGGCATTCTGACCCTCCTGAGCCCCAGATGCCTGGATGGGAAACTGGGGGTGACCAGTGAGCCCCTCTCTCCTATAACATGGGTCTTCTAGGAATTCATTGTTCTTGAAATATCAATATCAAACTCCAGAGCCGAGCAATGAGCAATCTGAAACTGGAAAGAAGAGAGAAATTTTATTTATAGAGCATCAGCAAAAGTGAAATGCATGGTGGTGGGGGGGGGGGGCGGGATTAAAAGAAAAAGTTGTGTACACAGAAAACCACAAGAAGGGCTAGCTTGGTGGGGACGCCCCCTGCCTCACTGGTCCCTCTTTCCTGGTCTTTGACTCCCTCATCCTCATCCCTGGAGGTGGTGGGTAGGGCCTTGGGGTGGAGGGGGGGAAACTTTCAGCCTTGGTTGAAGGTCCTGGAGGGAGGAAACGCTAGGAAGGCTATGCCAGCGCCTGAGCTCTGGGCTGGATGCCCCCATATATCCAGAACTCTCCCCTCCCCAGGTCACCAGGGGGACCCACACTGCCAGGGACCACACTCCTGCTGGCCAGGGTCTAAAAGGCTTCCCACCATACCCGCTCTGGACCCACATTCTCTGATCCCCTGAACCCCTAGTCCAATGTCTCCTTTGTGGGTCTTCCTGCTGCTTTGTGCAGTCTCCGTCCTTGCAGGAGGAGAGAGCCTGAGACCAGGAAGACGGTCTCACCCCCAGTGGGGGCTGCACGCCCCAGGCTCCCACACCAGCTTCAGGCAGGCGCCTGTATTTCTCCAGCAGGTCCCCTCCCCAGGAAGGAAGGAAGCCACAGTGGGGGCTCTGCAGAACAGGGAGGGCCGTAGCCCTGCCTTCAGGGAATGTAGGTCCGACTTGAAGGACCCCCATCTTCTGCTGTGCTCACAGCTGGGCTGAGTCATGGCCTTTGGGGGTCCCCTCAGTTACAGCAGCCTATGCCTGTGGGCCCAGGAGACCAGGCACTTGCCTGTGGAACCAACCAGGCCACCTCCCCGTGGACACAGGCCACCAGACCACCCCCCATCGATTCAGGCCACTCCCCAGGGACCAGGTCACCACATCACCTCCCCATGGACCCAGACCAACCTTGCGGACCAGGTCACCAGGCCACTCCCATAGACCCAGGTCACCAGACTACCTCCTCATGGACCCAGGCAACAAGACCACCCCCAATCAATTCAGGCCGCCCCCTCCCAGGGACCCAGGTCACCATGATACTTCCCCATGGACCCAGGCCAACCTGTGGACCCGGGTCACCAGACCACTCCCATAGACCCAGGTCACCAGACTACTTCCTCATGGACCTAGGCAACAAGACCACCCCCCATCAATTCCCATCAGGCCACCCCCCCCCCCAGGGACCCAGGTCACCATGATACTTCCCCATGGACCCAGGCCAACCTGTGGACCCGGGTCACCAGGCCACTCCCATAGACCCAGGTCACCAGGTCACCTCCCCATGGGCTCAGGTCACCAGGTCAACACCTCCATTGACCCAGGCCACCAGCCACCTCCCCAGTACTTAGACCCTCCATCCTGGGTCCTGGTGCTGGGCACACTCAGGGATGCCCATCATTGTGGGCAGAACGATGTCCGGGGTTGAAGAGCAGGGATAGCCACATCCAGTCTGTCACTTGTTCAGCATGTGGTTCCAGGGTATCTCCCAGGCTCCAGGCTGTTAGCCCTGGAAGGAGGGACCAGGACAGCTCCTGCTGGAGTGGGTCAGCTGTGGAGGATGGAGGGGACTGGAAGGGCCAGGGCCCGTCTGTGTCTGTCTCGCTCCCTGACTTGCGGCTCTTGCTTCCAGAATCTCCCGTGACAGTGATGACCTCCAAGGCCTGGGACTCCAGGGAGTTGAGGCTCCTCCTTCCCTGCATTGTTCTGGGCACCCTGCTCTTCTGTGCACTCGTCACCATCGCGGTCCTCCTCCTGCGGGGGAAGGGAAAGTACGGTAGGTGCCGAGTGGGTGCCAGGTGCCGGGAGGGTCTGAGGCACAGCTTCTCAGCTGACCCCCACTGTGGCCACCCAGCCCCCGCTCCCTGCCCCATGTCCCTGCCCTGGGGAGACTTCCTCATGGGAAGGAATTCCCAGCAGGTCCTACATAAGTGGGGTCCCCGGGGGGCCTCAAGTAGACCAGGCTGTACATGCGCATATGTGAATACATGCTGCCGCACATATGTGTATATGTATGTAGTCCATGTGTACATGTGCAAGTGGTATGGTATTGTATGCATGTGCCTGTGGCACGTGGTGTGTGCATATGCACACATGTGCATGCACATATGGGGTGTTCATTGTATATGTGTGTGCACATATATGTGGTGTGCACATGTGTATGCACGTGCATGTACAATGTGTGTACACATGGCATGCATGTGTGTATGGGTGTACATGTACTGTGCATATGGTATGCACGCGTGTGTTCATGTACACGTGTGCATGCCTGCATGGGTACATGTGCATATGTGTATGTGTGTACATGTACTGTGTCTGTATACATGTTCATGTGGTGTGTATATGTGTGTTCTTGTACATATTGTGTGCATGTGTGTGCATGTTCATGCGGTGTGCACGTGCATAGTGCTTCTGTGCATGTGATGTGTGGTGTGTGCCCATGACGTGTGCATGAGTCCTCTGTGCATGTGTATAGGTGCACACGTGTGTGTTTATGCATGTACATATAAGCAGGTGCATGTGTATACGTGTGTGCATATATGCATGTACATGTGGGGAAGGTCTCAATGAGCACGGAACCAGGAAAGCCGGGAGCAGAACTGACTTGTAGACTCTGCTCCACCCTCAGCCCTCCCCAGTATGGCGAACCACCAGCACCCGCCCGCCAGCCCCCAGGCAGGGATCAATAGCTACTCCGAGGTCCCCAACTCGAACTCCAAAGAAGAAGGTAGGCATCCCTGTCCCAGGCCTGGGGGCGCTTCAGAGGGAGAGGAGACCTGGGCCAGGGCCCGAGGGGCTGGGGGCTTGAGGGGTCACCCTGCCCCAGCACTCACTCACCTGCCATATCTCTATCCTGACCTTGACGATGACCTTGCCGGTGCAGTCTTCCTGGGATGCTGGGCTTTCCACTTCTGGGTCAGCAGATGCTGGAAGGTTCCATGGGGAACTCAGTTGCCCAAGGAAAGCTCTGCTCTGGCAGCTGGCTAGTGGTGTGCGATCGGCGCCTGGAGCCCGCCCGCTCAGTGCTCCTGGCACATCATCTTACTTTCTATTTTCGGAGGGTAAAATTGGATCTGCCATTCGTCCCTTATCCTCCGTGGATCTGTACAACTCCTGGAGGAAGTGCTCTAGTGGAATTTGAGTTGAAGCACATTTCATTAGGATTCTCGGGAAATCCCCTTTATTAGAAAGAGCTTAATGACGTGAAACGTAATGCGAAAGTCAGCCAAGTGCTAGAGTTCTTCAGGGCTCGTGGCATCCGTGTATCGAGACGGGAACCTGAGTGCAGAGCGAATGGGGAGCCCGGACCCAGAGCAGCCGCTCACTGCGACCTTCGGGTCTGGAAATGACAAGCAGGACAATGTTCGAGGGCCTGTCCGTGCCTCAGTTTCCTCAGCTGCAAGAGGGGATAAGGTGCTGGCCTGGCACACAGCTAACTCCAATTCCACCCCCAGCACTGCCGGGAGGGACCCCTGAGCACTGCTGAGTGTGGCCCCCAAACCAAAATAAACATTTCAATAGAAAACGAAACAGCTGCTATTCCTGGCTTTGAGCTGGGTGGGGGAGAGGCTGGGCAAACCCGGGCTGGGTGGTCTGCTTGCAGAGGGACTGCCTGGTGCTCTCCCTGCTGCTCTGCCCCCCACTCTCGGCCCCTCTCTGCCCTGCCCCCTACTCTGTTCTCTCCCCAGTTCCCCTGCTGCCCGTGCAGGTGCCATCGCCGCCCGAGGACTCGGGCTCAGACTCTGATTATGAGCACTATGACTTCAGCACGCAGCCTCCCGTGGCCCTGAGCACCTTCTACAGTGAGTGCTGGGGCAGGGTGACCCCCACCACCACCAGGAGGCCCACCCGGCGCCCCCGGCCCTGCCTGGGTGAACACCCCCTGAGTTCTTGCCCATTGGGCTCCCATAATAGAAATTTCAAAGTGCTTCTGGCCCTAGGGATGTGGCTATGCCCCAAGGACCCCCCCCCCACCAGCTTCTGACCCCTATCTCTGCTGCCCCCCATCCCCACCCCACCCCCCAGCTTTGCCTGCCCCACTTACCAGAATGTGCTGTGTGGGGCTTACAGGAGAGACCCCCAAGCCCCTCTCTTTCCCACGCAGGCCCCTCTGTGTAATCCCCAACTCCTGCTTTTCCGACTCTCTGCTCCGGGTTGGAGCAATAGCACAGTGGTAGGGCGTTTGCCTTGCATGCAGCTGGGTCAGTTGGCTGACCCGGGTTTGATTCCTCCACCCATCTTGGAGAGCCCGGAGAGCTGCCGAGAGTGTCTCGCCTGCATGGCAAAGCCTGGCAAGCTCCCCGTGACGTATCCGATATGCCAAACACAGTGTCACAATGGAGACGTTACTGGGCCCACTCGAGCAAATCGATGAACAACGGGAGGACAGTGCTATAGTGCTCTCCGCTCTGGGGTGGGGGTCTTGGGGGGCAGGAAGGAAGACAGCGCAGAGGTTACGGTCCCCGCAGTGCTGGGCTGGATGAGAGCACAGAGCCCCAGGCTCATCAGGGCATTTCTTGGGGACTTTTCAGAAACCCCTGAGGCCCCCACTGTGGTAGAAGTCGGGGTGAGAGTGTGGGAGAGAGAACCCCAAGTGATCCGAGGAATCAGGGAGGGGTGGTCTCCTCTCTTGCCTCTCTGAGCCCCTCAGGCATCCTTGCCCACATGCTCCAGAAGACTCACCCCCAGAGGGATTGGGGAGCCAGCCAGGATCCCCCCCACCTGAGGTGACACCCAGGCACCCGCTTCAAAGGTTCCGCATCTAGAGGGGAAGTTGAGGCCTGACCCGAGCATACAGCCTCACGAGGGCACAAGACATGTTGGGAACAGCCAGCCACCAACACCCTGCCGACTGGGACTCAGCCATCTGGCTTCTACTGGGACACGGGCTGATGTATTCCCCCAAACCCGTGACCCTGAGCCCCCACATATCCAAGCCCTGAACCTCATGGCACAGAGAATGGAAGTCAAGGGGGACCCCACTTTGAAAACCCTAACTCAGGATTTCAGATACTCAGTCTTTTTTTTTCTTTTTGGGTCACACTCGGCGATGCTCAGGGGTTACTCCCAGCTCTGCACTCAGGAATTACCCCTGGCGGTGCTCAGGGGACCATATGGGATGCTGGGAATTGAACCCGGGTCAGCCCCGTGCCAGGCAAACGCCCTACCCTCTGTATTATCGCTCCAGTCCCGATACTTAGTATTTAGGATGCTTTATCACGGGGTCCTGATGCCAAGGTGTCCCTGAGCCTGGCGTACAAATTCAGTTGCTCAGGGAGGCTTCTAGAAGGGGCCCCGCACTGCCCTGACTGCTGAGACAGAGCGGGAAACGCGGGACCCCCCCAGGAAGACCTCCCCCCACTTAAGTATCGGCACTTGGAGGCAGAGATGCTGGTGCTGGAGTTTCTATGGGGGATCCAGGGTGCTGGATTAGGAAACTCTCATGAGACCTGAGGGGAAAGACAAAGGCCCTTGGGACCCCCCGAGGTGGTCTTCCCACCCATCCAACCTCAGGCAGGTTCCTTCGAGTCCCCAGCCCACCGTGTTCACCCTCTGCTTGCAGATTCCCAGCGCCACCGCGTCACGGAGGAACAGGCGCGACAGAACCGGTTCCAGATGCCACCGTTGGAGGAGGGTGAGTCAGGAGGGGTGTGTGTATGTGGGGGGGTGTTACCCGGGGGACATCCTGCTCTCAGACTGGGCAGCTGAGAGCCCCCCCCTTCAGGAACCCCCCACCCTCGCCACCTCCTCCTGCCGCTCTCTCTCACCCTCCCTCTCCCAGAGTCCAGACACTCTCACGCCTCCCGCCCCGGGGGGCCACATGCCAAGCCCAGCCTCTGCCCTGCAGACACCCCTTCCCTGGGCCCTCAGCACTCGGCCCGGGGCGGCAGCACCTCCAGCACCTCTTCTGGCGAAGATTACTGCAACAGCCCACGTGGCAGGTGCCCTCCCTGGAACTCTACCACAGACAGGAACCCTCTCCTGGAGCAGACCCCCAATCTGGAACTGGCAGGCTCCCAAGGGACCTTTTCAGGTATCGTCGCCAACCCCAGGGGCCCCTGTGCACATCCTACCCTCCCCTTCTGCCGCCCTCCCCGGGAAGTAGAAAGGGGGGAGCTCTGGACCGGCCTGTGCTCTGCAACCACTTGCTGTGTGACCCTGCACCTGTTCAGTGCCCTCTCTGGGCTTCACTCCCTCCATGTGTGAGGGCTGGGTAACTGGAGAGCTGGTTGTCCCCTGGCGGTGGGTGACTGATTCGGGGGTCTCCAGCAGGACCCTCAGCTGATGACAGCTCCAGCACCTCCTCTGGGGAGTGGTACCAGAACTTCAAGCCCCCGCCCCTGCCCCCTGAGGGGGAGCAGTTTGCATGTCCAGGTACTGGTGGCCGGGTCTAGGAGTCCAGGGGGGACTGTGGATTCCCCGAGAAAGGGTTTTTTTTGCGGGGGAGGCAAGGTTTGGGCCATACCTGAAAGTGCTCAGGGTTTGCTCCTGGCTCTGTGCTCAGAGATCACTCCAGACGAGGTTCAGGGGACTGTGTGCAGTGCCGGGGATCCCAGCGGGGATGACCACCTGCAAGGCAAGTACCTCAGTCCCTGTCCATCTCTCCAGCTAGGGAAAATAACAAATACACGGGGTGGTGGGATGTGGATGGGACAGAAACAGACGCCGAGAACGTCAGGAAAGGGAGTGAGCTCCCTGTCCATGGAGGCATCCAAGCAGACCTTGGGGGAGGCTGTGGCGAGGAGGGACTCCCATAACTAAGGTTTGTTCAGGGTGATGCTGGAGCCAGGGAGGTGGTGGTGAATATAACAGCTTCACGGTGACCCCCTGCCCCCCTGCTGACCCCTGTCTCCCATCACACAGGGTCCCCCATTTCCCCGCCAGAGTTCACGGACAATGAGGACTATGATGACATCGGAGCAGCCTAGATAGGTCGGCGACGCCCTAGATCCACCCCCGAACTCCTGCCCCCCCCCACCTCCCCGCACCTCAGCACCATCCTCCCAGGGGGGCCGCAAACCTCCCTGAGAGTGCCGAGACCCCACAACCAAACAAACCCCGGGACAGACCCTTCCAGAGCCAGGCAGCCACCCCCTGGGCCTGGGCTGGCTGCTGCAAAGGTCTCTGAGGGGCTGGACTGGGTGGGCAGCTGGGGACCCTCCTGTGTTCGAGCTCCCTGGGCTTCAGCTGGCTCCAGCCCTGGGGGCCCTGGCAGGACCCCTCCAGCCCTTGGGGGGGGGGTTGTGGAGGCTTTGCCCTGGTTGGTTGGTAACTGTGTGGAGAATACAGCTCCCCTTCCTGGGTACCACCTAGGGACCCTCAGAGCACCTGGGGACGCGGCCCTCGCTGCCGTGCCTTCCCGAGACCACAGTGCCTTATTCGCAGCTTCCTGAGAACTGCAAAGGAGACCCCCAAAATGCAGACGGGGGCTCTTTCCCTGGGGGGCAAAAGCAGCAGAGCTGCTGGTCAGGAGGGACTCAGAGGCTGCGACTGTGTGTGTGTGTGTGGGACTCTTGATGGACCCTTGAAACACAGTGTCACCCCCTCCCCCCAAGGTGTGGCCATGGCTGGCCTGAGCAGCCTGGGGACAGTTTCTGGGTTCCTGGAGATTAAAGTAATAGCTCACTGAAAGCAGGATGTGGAGTGAAAAGTTCTTGAACTTACGAGAGCCAGAAAGCTTGTTGGGGTCTTGGGGGCGGTGGGGGTGGGACGGGGGGCAGGGTAGTATAACTTGTACATGTGCACATAGATGTTGGACACTCCACACACGGGTGCACACGCGTGCACATTCATATGCGTATCGGATGTCTAGGTATGCTTGTGTGTGTGCCTGAACATGTGTGTGTGTGAAGACGTGGGTATCCGTGCGCCCTATGTGGGAGTGTGGGTATTTGCCTGTGATGCATGTGGCCGCGTTAGATGTGGCTGTTCCGTCCATGAGACAGATGCAAAGCCTTTGGTGGCAAGGCACAGAGATCGTTCTGGGGCACACAAAAAAGTACAGCTGTCCCCAGGAGACAGCGCCAAGGCACCTCCTGTGTGTGACAAGCAGCTGCCCCCATATCTGTCCCACTCACTAGCTCAGCAAGGGTGGCAGGGGGCTGCCACAGTCCAGACCTGGACCTCCCAAAGCAGGGAACAGGAAACTGCCCAGGGTGGCGGGGCAGAGAAACCGACTAGGCCTTAGGAGGGGCTGATGGGGTGGGTGGGTACCGGGAGTAGGCGGGAGTAGGAAGGAGGAAGCGCTGGGTCCCGAGTCTGGCGTTCCTGCCCAGTGACACGTTTCCGCTGAGCCTGGCCAGAGGATGTGGGATGTCCCCTTCCCCTGTCCCAGGGTGCAGAGAGCTGGTCACCACCTGCCCCAGGTACCATCACGGGATGTGGCCTCACTGCCTCACTTTTTCGCCCGCTCCATGCCCTCTACAGAAGGGGGTGTTCTAAGGGAGGAGCCGGTGGAGGGGTCAGTGGTCAGCGTCCCCCTGCCCCACCCCCGGGACAGTTCCTGAAAACCTTCCTGCTACGGCTCTGACCGAATGCAGACTCCGCCGTCTTCTGGCTGTGTACCCGAGGAGAAGTCACCAGGCGTCTCTGATCCTCTGTTTCCAGTCCAGCCTGTGCGGTGAGGGCACAGGGTGCAGAGTGGGGAGGAGTTCCTGGGTCCAGGCTCAGACCGGGAGGGGCTGACACCCCGAGTGCCTCCCCATTTCTCCCCAGAGCCTCCCCCCATCCCCAACCTGCATCCCGCACACAGGCACTATAGGACATCCCGGGCTGCCCTGAGGTGGGGGGCAGCGGGGTCCCACAGGGCGGGGGACTTTCGAGGGCTGGACATCAGATGGAAGACCCTCGGGTGCTGTCGGTTCTGTCCTGAGACACGACCCCCCCCCCACGTCCCCTCCCCACACACACCCCCTCCTTGGGGAAGCTGCAGTTGTGGGCCCGCCTGTCTACACAGGGATTGGAGAGCGGGGATGAGTGACACCTGCTTTAGCCAGTAGGAATCACAGCGGCACGTGCACCCGCCCCTCCAGAGTCCTGGCATCACTGCACATCCCAGAGAGAGAAGTCGGTGACTCAGGGAGATGGGAACCCTCCTCTCAGAAACAGGGTCGTAGGGGAGGGTGCCAGCCCAGAACAGAGCTGGGCAATTTCATAGCTCTAATGAGGAATAGGCAATGTTTGAGGCTCAGGAGAAACCATTCCTAAAGGTGGGGAACCCTGGGAGATGACGGCTGGCTGGGCACTGAGCTGGGTCATGTGGGACTAGTGAGGACTGCAGCAGAAAGGGCGGTTGAGGGGACGGAGAGGAGTGAACAGAGACAGAGCAAGCAACTGCAAGACTCCAAAAGTCAAGGACTTGGTCCAGCCGGAGAGCAGCTGCTATTCCAATTCTCTTTCGTCGGTGGGGAAACTGAGGCCCAGAGAGGTTGTGGGAAATGCCCAGGTCACACAGCTAAAGAGTGGCCGTGGGATTTGGCGCACGCTACCGCACTGCCACTGAGTGCATTACAAACAAGCCAGGGGAGGGAACGGAGCGATACCACAGTGGGTAGGGCGTTTGCCTTGCACGTGGTTGACCCAGGTTCGATTCCCAGCATCCCATATGGTCCCCCAAGCACCGCCAGGAGTAATTTCTGAGCATCGCCAGGTGTAACCCCAAAAAACAAAAAGAAAAGAAAAAAGAAAAGAAAAGAAAAGAAAAGAAAAGCCAGGGGACGCTTGCCTTGCACGGGTTCAGCGGGGGTTCAATTGATCCCTGCCATTCCATGTGGTCCCCCTGTGCCCTACCAGGACTGACTCAAAACTTCAGAAGGAAGAATAACCCCTAAACACTGCCAGGTGTCACCCCAAAGGCAAAAACAAAGTAATTAAATTTTAAATAAAAACCAGCCAGCAAGGAGCTGGAGAGATAGGACAGAGGGCAGGGTGCTGGCCTTGCATGTGGCTGACCTGAATTCCATCCCCAGCACTCCCTGTGGTCCCCCAAGCCCAGCTAGGGAGCCCCGAAAACGTGTTCTCCGGCTTAGCGGGGGTTGCTGAGCCTGGCGCTCTCGGGGCAAGCCCAGCGCTGTCCCGGTGTCCTCTGCAGCCACAGTGCTGGACACAGCCCGAGCTCCAGCGCTGGGATCTGGAGACTGCATCTTGTCTGCCCAACTACAGCACAGGAACCAGCTGGGCACTGGGCAGGGGTTCAGGAGCAGAGGGTTGCTCTGGTAACCCAGAGAGTGTCAGCTCTGAGCTGGCCCCAGGGCACAGAGAGGTGTGGAAACACACGGGATTCTGGAGGGGAAGACACAGACAAGCATCTGCTCGAGCGCACATGGGGGTGGTGGTGGGGTGGCATTTGCCAGATGCCAGGCACGTTATTTATACAGTTCTCCTAAGAGCTCTGTGAGGGGCATTAGCCTCTCACTGTGTAAATAAGGAAGCCCAGGCCCAGAGAGGGTAAGTCACTAGCCAGGACACATCGCTTAGCAGGTAGGACAACTTTCTACCTGACACCAAAGCACTGCACAGTTGAAGGGTGGTGGGTGTGGGGTGGGGTGAGGGGGGTGTATTAGGCCCACCTCCTTCCACCTCTCTCCTCCCTCCTTCCTTCCTTCCTCCCTCCCTCCCTACCTGACACCAGAGCACTGCACAGTTCCTATCCTTCCTTCCTCCCTCCCTCCCTCTCTCCCTCCCTCCTTCTCTCCCTCCCTCTCTCCCTTCCTTCCTTCCTTCCTTCCTTTTCCCTCCCTCCCTCCCTCCTTCCTTCCTTCCTTCCTTCCTTTTCCCTCCCTCCCTCCCTCCCTCCCTCCTTTCTTCCTTCCTTCCTTCCTTCCTTCTTTCCTTCCTTCCTTTTCCCTCCCTCCCTCCCTCCTTCCTTCCTTCCTTCCTTCCTTCCTTCCTTTTCCCTCCCTCCCTCCCTCCTTCCTTCCTTCCTTCTTTCCTTCCTTCCTTCCTTCCTTCTTTCCTTCCTTCCTTCCTTTTCCCTCCCTCCCTCCCTCCCTCCCTTCCTTCCTTCCTTCTTTCCTTCCTTCCTTCCTTCCTTCCTTCCTTCCTTCCTTCCTTCCTTTTCCCTCCCTCCCTCCCTCCCTTCCTTCCTTCCTTCCTTCCTTTTCCCTCCCTCCCTCCTTCCTTCCTTCCTTCCTTCCTTCCTTTTCCCTCCCTCCCTCCCTCCTTCCTTCCTTCCTTCCTTCCTTCTTTCCTTCCTTCCTTCCTTTTCCCTCCCTCCCTCCCTCCCTCCTTCCTTCCTTCCTCCCTCCCTCCCTCCTTCCCTCCCTCCCTCCCCCCTCCCTCCCTCCCTCCTTCCTTCCTTCCTTCTTTCCTTCCTTCCTTCCTTCCTTCCTTCCTTCCTTCTTTCCTTCCTTCCTTCCTTTTCCCTCCCTCCCTCCCTCCCTCCCTCCCTCCCTCCCTCCCTTCTTTCCTTCCTTCCTTCCTTCCTTCCTTCCTTCTTTCCTTCCTTCCTTCCTTTTCCCTCCCTCCCTCCCTCCCTCCCTCCTTCCTTCCTTCCTCCCTCCCTCCCTCCCTCCTTCCCTCCCTCCCTCCCTCCCTCCCTCCCTCCTTCCTTCCTTCCTTCTTTCCTTCCTTCCTTCCTTCCTTCCTTCCTTCTTTCCTTCCTTCCTTCCTTTTCCCTCCCTCCCTCCCTCCCTCCCTCCCTCCCTCCCTCCCTCCCTCCCTTCTTTCCTTCCTTCCTTCCTTCCTTCCTTCCTTTTCCCTCCCTCCCTCCCTCCCTCCCTCCCTCCCTCCCTCCCTCCCTTCCTTCCTTCCTTCCTTCCTTCCTTCCTTCCTTCCTTCCTTCCTCCCTCTCCCCCCTTTGAAATAGCAACTCCAGTGGCTCAAAACCCAAACATGCAACTGTGTCTCATTAAAATCATGCCACCCCCACCCCCCCTACCTTCCCCAGCACCCCCTCCCCACTCCCAGGTAAGCACTGTCTCCAGTAAGA